TCAAGTCTAGGACTTGAAATATAAAACTGGGACTTTTCATCTTGGAAAAGAGACGACTAAAGGGGGGGGGATATGATTGAGGTCTATAAAATCATGAGTGGGGTGGAGAAAGTAAAGAAGGAAGTTTTATTTACTCCTTCTCATAACACAAGAACTAGGGGTCACCAAATGAAATTAATAGGCAAAAGAAAGCAAACAAACAAAAAGAAGTAGTTTTTTCACACAATGCACAATCAATCTGTGGAATTCCTTCCCAGAGGAAGTTGTGAAGGACAAGACTATAACAGGGCTAAAAAAAAACCTAGGTAAGTGCATGGAGGATAGGTCCATCAAAGGCTATTAGCCAGGATGGACAGGGATGTTTGCCAGAAGCTGAGAATGGGTGACAGGGGATGGATCACTTGATGATTACCTGTTTTGTTCATTCCCTCTGGGGCACCTGGCATTGGTCACTGTTGGAAGACAGGATACTGGGCTAGAAGGACCTTTGGTATGACCCAGTATGGCCATTCTTATGTTCAAGTCTTTGAATATCGGAGCAAAAAAAGTTTGAGGGGGACGGCATGTGTATATATCTTCAAAGGAGACCTTTCCACCAATAAGCATACTAAATCATGAAAGTGGAGTAAAGCCTTTTCAAAATAGACTTAATGGGCTAGATCCTCTGATGCGGTGTTTCTGCTTTGCATTGCACTGCTGGTAGAATCTGGCCCTACAGCCATCTCAGCATGCAAAACGAGGATTGACCACCAGAAGCTGCTAGAGCCTTGTCTACACTAGGACTCCCACTGGGAACAGCAGTGTGAATTTTATTATAAACTTCCCTAGTGTAGAAAAGGCTTTAGACTGGTTTCACCTCTGACTTGAGCAGAGTTCTTCCTGGCTATACCACTGTAAATCAGAGGAGACCCAGGCCCAAAGCCTGCCATAGATATTATAAAGGAAATTATGTATAGTTAGCTGTAGCAGTACATATGACATTACAGAATGCCCATCCATTGTCTCTAGACCTTTAAAGGGCAGAAAAAGCAGCAGACACTTCAGTGAGCAAAAATGGCATTTTAATGATGAATTAGACTGATAATTTAAAAATAAACAGACATAAAAAGTGGTTCTGATTTCAATTTTCCAACCCCTTGATTAAACCGCTTCATATTCCTGGATTGGTTTCTGTCATCAGAGCCCCCTACCAACTCTGCAGTATATTTCAGTTGACATCCTACATTGTCTCACTGTCACATTTTAAAAAATTAGCATGATTTGAAAAAGATTTGCCAATCTGCTAGAATATTCTGTGAACTATTTTTAAGAGCTAAGACATACTGTGTTAACAGTAGTGCATAAACTAACGTCCCTATCCAATTCTGTGCACATTGCAGTCAATGGGAATTTTACATTGACTTCCATGGGAGCATGATTGGGCCCTAAATTATTAAGAATATAAAGAAATAAAGGCTTCTTGTCATATTCTAAACACAGCCCCTTTTAATTATGTCATTTTTATAACTAAACGTATATGCAGCAGAAAGTGTAATAATCAGCTTATCACACTCTCTGATTAACCAGCTCGTATATAATATGTTTTACAGAAGGCTTTACAGTACATAATCTACTCAGAAGCACCAGTTGCTTGGAAAGGTCACTAACAGATGATCTCATATACTTACACATTGCTTCATCAACAATGAACCAGATTTATATGCTAGCAGGCTCAATGTATAACGTAGCTGAACATATGGGTAGTTTGAGCCAACTAATTTGTTTTCTGCTCTGGATGTATCTGTGCAAACGCAGACACATGAGGAATAAACATGAAAGAACTAAAAGGTGCGCTAATAGCAGGAGTTTCTGCCATCCCCCTCAACCTTTTTTTGCTCTGCTATTCAAAGATTAGCAACAGAACTGCTACCTCAGTCATCATGGGAGCCACGTGGACAAATACTTAAAGAATAATTATTAAAAAAAAAAGAAATGGAACATTTGAATCAGGTTTGGGATGTTAAGTAGAGCAGCTCTCCCTGGCACATCCCTCTCCAACCCACTAAAGTTCCCATTGCACCAGCAGAGCACCAAGGACTAGATTCTGCAACCTGCTGAGCACCCACAACTCCCTGGGAGCAGAGATATTCAGCCTCTCTCAGGTTCAGGCTACAAAACAAGGTCAGTTCACAGAGAGGGACATCAGCAAGATGAGGGGGAGCAGGAGACGCTGCCACTTAGGCTCAGCTCCCTTCATGGCAGTCTGAGTAGGATTTCTGCTCTTTTCATTCCCTGCAGGGCAAAAATCAAAGAGGATGATCTCACCCTGAATTTGGATAATTATTATTACATATGTTTTAAGATGCAGATTGCAACACAACATGATTTTTGTATTTTGTTACAGTTTGTAAGAAACTGAACTGCAGAAAATAGTACAAATTTCACCAGAAAAGACATTAAGAAAGCAGCCCCTCTGGCCCTCCAGAGCTCCTACAACTGCTACTTATCCAGTGGGGGTACTTAGTTCTTGATAATAGCTGAGAGTCATATGCATATCATCCTCTGATGTCCAAAAATACGTGCTTGCCTAACTCACAGCCACTTAGGAATTGTACAAGTTTTGTGCTGTTCAAAGACTATTTCCTTGGCTTTCAACTTCATTCCAGGAGAAAAGAAGGGACATGAAGCCAAAGAGATCCATACACGAGAGGGGGAAGTGAATGCCCCATTTCCATTACGAGGAATGTCCCCACACAATAGTGATGGAGAAGGGAGATGTTCCCCTAAACACACATGGGTAGCATAATAGATACTGCAACCACATGCAGTAGCTTTGGGAACCATTGTATTAACTTTACAAAGGTTATGTGTATCGTTTCAGGATAGGGATTGTAGCCTATTTCATGAAGGAAGATTTCCACAGCTCTTCTAGTAACTAAAAATGGGGGGAGGGCGGGAATTACAGCAGTTGCTGGGACTGTATACAGTTGCAAGGAAGTACCTCCTCCAGGGGTGGTTTGCATATACTGGTTCAGACTGGTACAAAGGACCCAAACAGACCAATGAAAGGGCTTCTGGTATAAAAGGCTGAGTTTAACCTGACAGAAGGGCCTCCATTTTGTTTCAACAAATGGACATGATCTTTTATCCAAGAAGAGGCCAAACCCTTTGGAAGTAAGGTTGTCAGGTGTCCAGTTTTCAACCAGAACACCTGGTCAAAAAGGGACCCTGGCGGCTCCAGTGAGCACCACTAACTGGGCCATTAAAAGTCTGGTTGGTGGCACAGCGGGGCTGGCAGTCTCCCTGCCCAGCTCCATGCGGCTCCCAGGAAGCAGCTGGCATGTCCAGCTCCTAGACAGAGGGGCAGCCACAGGCGCTACATATGCTGACCCCCCTCCAAGTGCTAACTCCGTGGCTCCCATGGGACAGGAATTGCGGCCAATGGGAGCTGTGGGGGCTGTGCCTGTGGGCAGGGGCAGTGTGAAGAGCCCGTTGGCCGTGCCTCTGCCTAGGAGCCAGAGGGACATGATGCCGCGTCCCGGGAGCCACCGGAGGTCAGTGTGCCCAGAGCCCATACCCCTCACCCACTCACGCACACCAACCCCATGCCCTAGCCCTGAGCACCCTCCTGCACCAAAACTCCCTTCCGGAACCCGCGCCTCTCCTCCCCAGCCCCACCCAAGCCCGCACCCCCCACCACAGCCTTCACCCCCTCTCACACACCAACCTTCTTCCCCAGCCTGGAGCTCCCTCCTGTACCCTGAACCCCTCATTTCTAGCCCCACCCCAGAGCCCTCACCCCCTCCTGCACCTCAAGCTCCTGCCTCAGCCCGGAGCCCCCTCTTGCACTCCAAATCCCTCATCCCCAGCCCCACCCTGGAGCCTGTACCCCCAGCCAGAGCCCTCACACCCTCCTGTACCCAACTCCCTGCCACAGCCTGGTGAAAATGAGTGAGTGAACAAGGGTGGGGTAGAGTGAGCGATGCCCCGCCTCGGGGAAGGGGCAGGGCAAAGGTGTTTGGTTTTCTGCAATTAGAAATTTGGCAACCCTATCAGGAAGGGTTGGAAGGACTTGAACCTGGCCAGGATCCCAAAAGCCTGACGAGTGACTTCTGGTACATTTAAATATGCATTTTGATCTTTTTATTGTTTTGTTTTCTCTGGATGTTTTTGTCCTTAAATAAATGTACTCTGCTTTGGAAGAACTGTTTGGTCACTTATAAGCGCTGGTTTACATTGGTCACAGCTCTTGGAAAGAAAGAAAAGCAGAGGGGCTGGACGTTAGGATAGTGTAGAGATAATCACAGTGCAACTGCAAGGGGGCAGCAAGGCTGACCCCTGCTCAGGACATTGAAGGACGCAGGTCCCTGCCCAGAGAAAGGTGATGGATAAAGGCCTGAGCCCCAAGAGAGTATCCCTGGGGCAGACCATGGAGAGGGGGGCAGGGAGCAAAGGTGCAGTTCCCTGAAATTGTGACATATAGCATCTCTCAATATTACCTCTCCAGCCTCCTGTATCTGCGGGGTGGGATACAACAAAGTTTGGCTCAAGATCTGCCCCTTTCTTCTTCTGGGGGGAGAGGGAGGGGATCACATGTAGTGTGGTTACTACAGCCCTAGCAATGTAGTAACACCTGTAGACTGCAACAGCCCTGTAGGGAAGAGGCAGCGAGACAGGTCTAGCATAAGGAGCTGCAGTGCAGGAGAGACACTACATGAACTTTCACCCCCAGGCAAGCTCTTTAATTCCCAAACAGGGGAGACTTGGGTGTCCTACTATTTATGTCCTATATAAACTATCCACCTCCTGGTGGATACCTTGAGCTGGACAGGGTTTCAGAGGTGCTGAGTACCACTGACTTCAACTGGAGTTGAGTGTACGCAGCAATTCTGAAAGTCAGACCCCAAGCACTAAAGAAAGCAATGTTTTGAAATCTGAGACTTAAAGCACACTAAATGAATGTCAATAACTAGCATGAACATGATTTAGCTTGAGATGGAGTGAACACAACACAACACCCATAAGCGAAAAATAAGTTTTTATTCAGATGTTTAGTGATAAGTAGTTATTTTCCAGAGATTTTTATGTACTAAACTTAAACATACAAAATGGGCAGAAAAAAGAGAAAATGCTGGGTTAGAATCTTCCTGAATCTTAATGTGTCCGTAGTTCTTCTGGATTTATTGAAATGTTTGATGTTACAATGTCTTATTTAGCGTGCTACCTGATTTCCTTTATAGAAAATGCTCATTCCTCAGTGGAGATAAATGTGGTCATGAACATGGATGCTATAATTTAGTAAATAAACAGGGAAAAGAAAACCATAAAAGTACCCCTCTATAATATAAAACCTATTTCTAGGTTTTACTCCTTGCACATAACTAAGGGTCTGATCTAGTTCCCCCTGAAGTCTGAGAGGCTTTTCACTCATTGCATTAGGCATCAAAGTTATTGAATTTTATATTAGTTGAGGGATATCAATTCTGGACAGAGAAAATTCCTGCATCTAAGTTACAATATCTCAAGAAGCCATGAACTTCCCCATCCCAGGTGGATTATTCAATTTCCAATTTTTACCGTGACTTCTGGCTTTTCTCCTATGTATGTGTATGTATAAAATTCAGTTGGGTTGCTTCATTTGGAGAGAAAGTGTGGCTTTCAGGTAGACTGCAGGTAGAGAAGAGATGCACTTTATGCCCTCATGCCTTTCAGATGTCATTTGAAAAGCTCTAGCCTGTCTAGTGGCCTTTAACCTGGACCCCCTCTGGGTAAGTATTACACACGGTGTGCACTAAATTGGAAAAATTTTCCAGAAGGCACAAAGTCTGAACACAGGATGTAATCAGATGATGCTACCATATACAAAACCAACATATGCTATTTTTGGTGGGGCAAGTGGAAGAAAATATGGGAAGAGAAAGTTAGCAATGATGCAGAGAGGCTATAGTTGGACAATTACATTAATTGCCTACAAGGCACATTGGGAAAGGGCAAATAAGGCTCTCTCCTTCTTGATGATTCTAAGCTTTCCATACATTCTTTCCATATATTATATCTTTGTGTTTGTATGTACACATCAATGAATTTAAAAAAGAGATAAAGCAAAGATTTAGAAATTAATTTGAAACAGGTCTATATTCAGAAGTCTATGTTGTCATTTTCATAAACTGTATTAGATTTTACCATGCATCACTTCATTGTTTGTTTAGATGTGAGGCAGTAAAAGCACAATATTGGGGCATCTTGATTTACCGTAGATTTTATGGATCTCTCTTAAGGGTTACTTCCCTTCCTTCTTTGCAAAAGGCAGTTCACATTTTTAAAAATTTAGGAATATATGAGGGTCAGTTAAAATGTATTTGAATTTACGATTTACAAGTTGGAAGTACAAACACACACATAGAATAAAAATGATAAGAATGCCCATATACAACTCAAGAAAAACAATTGGTCCGCGAAGGGTCAGACATATGCTGATCTGTTTAAAACTATTTTTTCCTTGTTTAGTTAGACTGTTTAAAGATAATGCATTGTTTCCAAAGGCTCATGGTTCAGTATAAATGGTCCACATATGACTACAGTAAATGCCAAGAGGCATGAGATGTTTACTATCTTCCAGAAAACATTTAACAGAAGGATGCCAGTAACCATGGGCACCATTAAAATCTGTATAGCTGCATTTTGCAAGTAATTATCATTATGTCTGACTTTTAGGGAAATATCTGAATACCACAATAATGTTAATTAGGCAAAAGGCAAAAATTGTGGCAATATTAATATTAATAGTGACCACAGTCGATGGTTCAGAAAGTGGATCACATTTTCATACAAATGACTGATGTATTTATTGCAATGTGATATATTTCACCTACCATATATTTACACACATGAACCAGAGATAAAAAATGGACACAGATATTAACAAGAGCCTGGTCCTGCATTCCTTATGCACCCAAAACTCTCACGGAAGACTATGGGAATTTTGAGTGTTCAATGAATGCAGGATTAGGAATACTGCAAAACTTTGCTTTTTTTGGAGACTTATTATGGATTAATACAGGTTTTCCATTGATTTTCTTTGGCTTTTAAATTAGTGTCCCTTGCAGCTACATGTCTACAATGCAGAACACCAACAAATAAAATCATATTACAAACCAACCAGGTAAAAAACACTGGCCAAAAAGTGTAGCTGTTGCTTTATTACAAAACAATGGTGCAGAATGATGTTTGAAACTGGTCAGAATGTAAGAATTGCAATAGCAACTAGAAGTATATACCATAGGTGTGACTGCACTTGTTGCTTCTCCTGCCCTATAGAAAAATTAAAACTAAGTAGGCACTTGTTTCCTTCCGTAGTAGGAGGAGAGCACTCAATGTAAGGAAGGGTGACAGAACTGGGCCTTACATGAATGTTCTCTAGTGTACTACAGCCATAGGTCCTGATTCAGGACAGCCCTTAAGCACATGCTTAACTTATCAGTGTCAATGGAACTTGAGCACATGTGTAAATGCTGCCCTGAATCAGGCTTTAATATGGCAGTGAGTTTCTTTTTTATTGCATTCCCATGTTCAATTTAAACTAACCTGACCCTGCTCTCCACCACAACTATCCTAATGACCCTCCCCACCAAGTTTTAAAAAGTAAATGGGCATAAATATAAATACAATCACCTACGAGTATATAATAAATATGCTACTAAATGGGAGAAAAATATATTGCAACATAAGGCCCTGTAGTGCTGCACAATCATGAAACACTTCAAAATCTTCCAGGTATCCTAAACACTCTCCCATTGTACATCACAGTTACCACTATACAGCTGAGGGGGATCAAGAAAGTAACAGATTACACTTCTATTACATTAAATATTTGAAAATAGAAGTGTGGTAAACGCACAGAAGAGTTTAATTGTGTTCCACCGTCTTTGCTGAACACCATATACATGTTCTTTCACTGCTCCTTGGTTATGAAGCACAATTTAAAGTTTTAAAAACACCTCTCACAACTATAGGATTCCTTCAGATTTACAATTTAACAAGTGTCCATGTTGACTACTAGCATTATCTTTGAGAGTAAGACAGATTCAGAAATTCTGTTGCCTTCGTTTCTTTGCATCCATTGCATCCAGGATCGGCTGCCTCTTCGCTGTGTATCTTTGACGAAGCTCTTCAATTTCTCGTTCCATCATAGGGTCCAAAGCCGTTAACCTCATTTGCAATTCTTCTAAACTTAGGTTTTTTAACTGTAAATAACAAACAGGAAAGCAAAGCTGTTTAATGAAATTGCTTCCAACAACAAACAAAAGATTGATAACTGTTAATACTAATCATTCGTTTAATTTACCGTGGCAAAGTGAAAACAAAGTATTAAAAATAGCAACCAGTGTAGTAGCATGGAAGTACCTACATTCCCATTTACATCTGATACAAAGTAGTTTCAGTGTACTCTGCACATAGACATATGCCTTATGTTGAATCAGTCTGTAAAAAGCATGCATGCCAATTTATGGATGTAATTCTACGGATATGATGGTATCCAGGATAATTACCACACCCAATCAAAAATGACTAGTTGAGCTACAGTCTCCCGTGGAAGCCCTAATTCTAAGATAGACAACATCCACAAATAGTACTATGCCAGACAGTCAAACGTACCTACTGATAAGAATTAAAAGGCTCTTGTATTCCTCAATGGATCACTGCCATATCTACACAGGGCAAACTGCCAACAGAGTGTATAAATAATATAGGAAACAACATCCTGAATTCATGGGAAGGAGTTAGTTATAATCAACCTCTTTTCTTTCTAAGCAGCACATTAACATTTTCTTAGAACATTAATGGGGCCATTAATGGCTCAGGAGTCCTTTAAAAATTAATAATAATGAGGCTATTTACAAAGAAATCGACTCATTTGCATGCTGACTGGTGTGACTAACCAAAGCTGGATTCTTGCCAGCTAGTGGAGCATTGCAGGCATTACTTTCCATGCCTCTGCTTGCTGGAAAGAATCCACAGTTCATAGTTTCATAACTGAAAACAAATAATGGTGAAGTTCATTTTTATTGCCCTGAGGCAGCAAGGTGTCTTTCTGCCCTTCACATTCCTGTCAGAGTCCTTTTTGTGCCAACTGCCCTTCGCTGGTTGTGAAGATTATCACCACAGTTCAGATGGCAGAAGGAATTTAATGAATTACATAAAGGCCCACCCTAATAAGAGACCGTCTACATTTTGTTTGAATGTAAATGAATGTTCTGACATACTGAACAAACACACCACCTAATAATTGCCTACGTCAGGAAAAAAAAATGACAACACATTTCCTGAATGAGCCTGTTTATGAGTCAATATTGAGTTCATGAATCCTGGGCAATTTTTCATCAATACAGTCTAATCTATTTTCCTTGGGGAATAAAATATTACTTTTGATTTCTCTATCAGCATCTGAAGCATACGAATTAACCACACTGCTATTGCTATGTACAGTCCCTCTCCCTGTGTTATGACTAGTACTAATACACTATATCACACATGGTAGTAAAGAAAAATGGAGTGTCAGAACTTTAATTAGACACAAAGAGAACTGGTGCAGGAACTAATAAAAAACCATAAACAAGAAACAGAGGAAAACAAGCAGTATGTCATGCAAGACAATACTAGCATTAAAGTTTCTGTGAAAATGAGAGATCAAGGAAGAGTTACTGATTAGGATCAATCCTACCCTCCTTCCCACACCTCCACAGGGACAAAGCAGAACAAATACAGTTCTGTCATTTCTTCAGAAACAGCCAGGTGGAGGATACCTGTAGCCCCAAGCCAGGGTGCACATCCCCGTGTGCCTCAGAACCAAACTCTAACCAAAGGAGTCATTTGGGGCCAACAGATCTTCAACTATGAAAATCCAAGGCTGCAGCAGTGGCCACAGAGCACCCCAAATGTGCTCTGCAGCCTGTTGGCTAGGATTCTTTTCCCGGTTGCACATCTCGCTACTTGGGCTTCCACTGAGTGAAGTGATTAAGTAAAATCTAGTTGGATAAGTTGCCCTGCCCTACTTCCAGAAAGGGGCTGGGGGAAAGTGGTCACTATTTCCAGGACACCAAGACACCCATTAATTTAGGGGGAAAGAGGGAAGAAGCTTCTGTTTTTCTGTTCTTGTCAACTGTTAAATGGAAGTAGCATATTAAAAATCATGTGAGTGGGGATATTCTTTAGGGGGCAAGATTGGGATGGGTTTTCAATGTAAAGGGATCTAGGGTACAACGTGGAGGGTTTATGGCCTTAATAGGCATGTATTTAACTGACTGAGAAGAAGTGCAGGAGCTAAGGGGGGGCACAGAGAGTTCCTATTTTTCTAAATTCTCCTTAACTCTTCTTTTTGAAACCCATCCATGAGAGGATGGAGAGCTTTGGAGATCCATAGAGAAGTGAAGGAACTACATGATGGGATCCAAGTATAATTTCTTGCCTGTAGGGTGTACCTTTTTTTTTCAGGACAGATCTTTATGAGGTTTTCATATGATCTTTACAGTCTGCCCTGGCTCTGACTTGGGTACTCAGCTGCCTTCTCTGGATAGTCACTATAAACACACCAAGAGGATTTGGGTCTCTTTATATATCGTTTGAGACCGATCATCTACTGCTGTACAAAAGATTTTGTATGTGCGGCCAGGGAGAAATGTGACGGGTGCATTTTTATTTAAATCTCAGAAACAGAACAAGTAAACAGAAACAAATGCACTTTGAAGACCACAGACAGCTAGACTGGAAATTACAGATTTGAAAAAAGAGAATTTCAAGATCCAAATAATGAGGGATTTTCAGAATGATCTCAGTCATGTCACTGAAGGGATCTAAGCCATTAGAATACTTGTGTGTATCAGTGGATACCACTCTGAACACTGGAAGGGAGAAGTGAATATAAAAAAGCAAGGCACTTCATGTGAAAAAAGAAAGCAGATTTGGCTTGTATCTGACATTGAGGTGCATTGAAGCAGGCATAGCCATAGAAAAGCTATTGTATCAGTGTTTATAGAACGCTATATAAAACAATCATTTTGCCATGATATCCCAAACTGCTAAGTATCATTCTAGAGACAAGATGGGACGTCTGTTGGCGAGAGAGAAAATAAAAGATATTATCTCACCACCTTGTCTTCTAATATCTTGGGACCGACACAGCTACAACAACACTGCATACAACTACCGTTCTGACCTTTATATAAGCTTCCTTGGTTAACGCAAAGAAATTACTTCTTGGCTTCCACTTGTACTAAAGGTACTACATAGCATACCTAAAAACCTGCCAAGGCCCAAACATGTGATACGACATGGGACAAAGATGCTAAGTGAGGTACATAAAAAATTAGCCATGCAGGAAACTTAAAATGCTCTGGGATTTGTTCCTTTAGGGTAACTAACTTTCTGTTGTCTCAGTAACCTGGTTCATTGACTGTTCCTTAACTTTAACAAAGCTTTTGATACCGTCTCCCACAGTATTCTTGGCAGCAAGCTAAAGTAGTATGGGCTGGATGAATGCACTATAAGGTGGGTAGAAAGCTGGCTAGATTGTCGGGCTCAACGGGTAGTGATCAATGGCTCCATGTCTAGTTGGCAGCCGGTGTCAAGTGAAGTGCCCCAAGGGTTGGTCCTGGGGCCGGTTTTGTTCAATATCTTCATAAATGATCTGGAGGATGGTGTGGATTGCACCCTCAGCAAGTTTGCAGATGACACTAAACTGGGAGGAGAGGTAAATACGCTGGAGGGTAGGGATAGGATACAGAGGGACCTAGACAAATTGGAGGATTGGGCCAAAAGAAATCTGATGAGGTTCAACAAGGACAAGTGCAGAGTCCTGCACTTAGAACGGAAGAATCCCATGCACCGCTACAGACTAGGGACCGAATGGCTCGGCAGCAGTTCTGCAGAAAAGGACCTAGGGGTGACAGTAGACGAGAAGCTGGATATGAATCAACAGTGTGCCTTTGTTGCGAAGAAGGCCAATGGCATTTTGGGATGTATAAGTAGGGGCATTGCCAGCAGATCGAGGGACGTGATCGTTCCCCTCTATTCGACACTGGTGAGGCCTCATCTGGAGTACTGTGTCCAGTTTTGGGCCCCACACTACAAGAAGGATGTGGAAAAATTGGAAAGAGTCCAGCGGAGGGCAACAAAAGTGATTAGGGGACTGGAACACATGACTTATGAGGAGAGGCTGGGGGAACCTGGGATGTTTAGTCTGCGGAAGAGAAGAAGGAGGGGGGATTTGATAGCTGCTTTCAACTACCTGAAAGGGGGTTCCAAAGAGGATGGCTCTAGACTGTTCTCAGTGGTAGCAGATGACAGAACAAGGAGTAATGGTCTCAAGTTGCAGTGGGGAAGATTTAGGTTGGTTATTAGGAAAAACTTTTTCACTAGGAGGGTGGTGAAACACTGGAATGCGTTTCCTAGGGAGGTGGTGGAATCTCCTTCCTTAGAAGTTTTTAAGGTCAGGCTTGACAAAGCCCTGGCTGGGATGATTTAATTGGGGATCAGTCCTGCTTTGAGCAGGGGGTTGGACTAGATGACCTCCTGAGGTCTCTTCCAACCCTGATATTCTATGATTCTATGATTATATCTGATGCAAGCAATTTTCAACAATGAAAGTAAGGAAACACCTATATTGTGTGGCATGTAAATCACTGGGATTAAAATGAGTGACATCCCTCAAAATGAAGCATGCTGCACATTATGTTGTTTTAAACACATTTTTGATGTCTCACAGAGGTCTTTCAAACTCATTTTATTCACAAGTAATTCAGTTTACATAGTTTTATTTTGTTTCCCTTTTTTAAATTATGGGAAACATTTCATGAAATTTCTCTCTGTTTGGGTAAAAAGCAAACTGAATGATCAGCAAAGTCTAAAGATCAACTGACGGAGGCAGAAAAGCCTCTTCTATCAAGATTACCATCTTGATATTAAGATTGTAATCTTAATCAAGATTACCATTACAAAAAAAAATCCTGTTTTTTGTTGAATAGAGCCCTGTGTGATTAAGCAGTGTATTGCTGCTCTACCTGACAAAAAAATTCCTTGAGCAATTACTTTACAGTGAAAAAAATCTAAGAAATTGAAACCATTCTAATTTTGCACTACTGTAAGAAGAGGGGACAACTCTGAATGGAAAAGGCTTCAATTTTGCAAGATACTAATTTAAAGGTAGTTAAACAGGAAACATTTCCTCTTGATTCCAACTCTAAAAGCA